CCCCAAAACCCCAAAACCCCAAAACCCCTTCAAAATTTCATAGAGTCAATTGAGTGGTTGGTTATGATTGATCTTTTTAAAAATCTAAATCTAAATGCTATATATTAAGAGATTATCAAAGTATTATATATAATTTTTCAGTCGCATTATCTCTACCTAGTGAAATGGAATAGAAAATAAATTAAAATGACGAGGATGCACAAATCAAGGCAGATATTGATTAGCTTATGCAAAATTTATACTCATCCTTTGAATAAAATAGCTGTTCTTTAAAATTTAAAGATAAAAACTTAGAAAATGACTACTAGAATTAACTTCAATAGCAGATTGTAAGAATAGGAATCATGTACATTGTAGAGATTATAGTAGCCTTGGTGATATTTCAAAGTCTTTTTGCATGGAATAGATCAAGAGATGGTTTTTTTTTAGGATATGTTGTTTCTTGGATAATCTCAGTAGTGATTGTCTTAGTATAAATACTATTCAATTTTATCAATCGCAGATGTAAATGGATGTCTCTTTGCTTTGCAGATATTTAAACTGTTATGATAGTTGTTTTTATCCTCGAACTCTCTATTATGAATCAACCAACACCATAGGTTGATGGATTTACTATTTGCATGGCTCTTATATCATCACTTAGCTTCTTAAGTTATTGCAAAAAAAGACTGATCTATACTTACGTACTCTGCTCAATTTATATATTAGTAAGATGTTGGTTTTGGATTTAAAATATTCATGGATATTTCAGATTTACCTCTTACTACATAGCTTCATTTGCATTTATCTATTACTTTTCACGAGAATCGATGAAAAGAGATCGTGAGGCATTCAGGTAAACTTAAAATTAGAGGTAGCTGCTAGTTATATTTCACAGCTTAATTAGGCTGCATCATGATGGAATCACCATTACAGATAGGGATCAACTCCTCTTTAATAATAAACAAATCCGCAATATATTCAGTATAGAGGATGAAATTTAGAGATACCGCAAAGCAGATAGCAATGGAAGATAAATTCTATCAAATAGAAGAGATTCTCATTTGTACACAGATTAGATAAGAGCATCATTAATAGAAAGTATGAACTAAACCACAATCAAGAAAAACCAATTTGAGGGAACAAATTCTAATGTAAAAGATGAAAAATTTTAGAATTGCCAGAATATTTGGGACTTTATATAGCATTAGGATTAGTTCAAGCATCATCAAAAAGAATAAATATACTGCTCAAGTAGCATCGAAGATGGTCTGTACTTTAAATATAGGTAACCATAAACTGAGGATTCAAATGAAGTGATTCATTTAAAATAAACCAAAAGATTGCAAGTGTTTTCTCAAATGATAAATACTGGTAATAGAAATCTTGTTTTCACTACCATAAGAGATATGTCTCATTGGACAGAGCTACAGAAATAAAAGAATCTTACTTTATTTAAAACATAAGCATTTGCTTCAGCTGCGCATGAATTCAGAAACCCTCTTAGTGCTATTATCACTTCTCTTGATCTTTTAAAAGGCATGATAGACCTTGAAAGAGGCCTTAAATACTTTATAACAGCTAAAAATTGCTCAAAACTAATGCTTTACCTTGTAAATGACATTTTGGATTATAGTTAGCTTGAAAGATAGAAACTTTTGTTAAATATCGATGAGATCCAGATTGACGTAATCCTTGAGGAATGCATAAACGTGCTAAAATTTAGAGCTGATTTGAAAAATTTAGAGTTAAGTTATAGAATTGATAGTACTTTTCCTACTTAAATATGTACTGATGAAAATAGGCTAAGACAAATTATGATTAATTTAATCTCTAACGCTATCAAATTTACCAATCAAGGCCATATAAAAATTAACTGTTATCAAGATTTCTATAACAGACAAATAAAAATTGATGTTGAGGATACAGGAATTGGAGTTGAGGAAAAAGAACTTGAGAAACTTTTTAATGCTTATAAAAAGATATAAAGAAGTAGAGAAATGAATCCACATGGCTGTGGATTAGGTCTAACTATCAGTAAAAATCTCGCCTAGGCACTAGGTGGTGATATTTCAGTAACTTCTTAGATCAATGTTGGCTCAACGTTTACGTTGTAGTTTCCTTATGGAGAACAAAGACGTGCCTCAAATTACAGAAAATCTATATACAGTAAACGATAAAGATCTTAGACTCAGCAATAAAATGATAATTCAAATGGGAGAAAACAAACTTTATAATTTTATGCAAGATAAAGCTCAATATCTCAGAAATTTCATAAGAATCCAACAAATATTTTTGACTCTGATAGAGCTAATACAAGAGATAGAGATATTTAACAATCGGAAAATATTTAAGACCCTGATCTTTAGACATCTAGGTTGGAATAGCTTAGTCCTAATGTCCTTGGAAAATATCTAAAAGCAGATAAATTCAATTTCCTCATGAAAGATGATGTAGATACAAGTAGAGATTTGCTTATTAATGAAACATTTAGTCTTTAGCCTTAGAGATAGGAATTGAATACATTACATGACATTGAAAATTAAACTGCGATCCAAGGTATTAACATGAAGAAAAAATGTAAGTGTCCTAAAGTTTTAATTCTAGACGATGACCCTTTCAATATAATTGCTCTTGAAGGTATGCTCTAGGCTCTAAATGTGGAAAATGTAGATAAGGCATTTAACGGAAGGGAAGGGCTGAGTAAGATAGATAGTAACATTCTTTTAAAGAACCCCTTCTCTCTAGAACAAACTAATTGTCCTGACCATAGGCCATATAGACTGATTGTAGTTGATAATTAAATGCCATTGCTGACTGGTATAGAAGTAGCTCAAAAATTCCGTGAAAAATAAAAATATGATATCTCATTAATGAATACTAAGATAGCACTTCTAAGTGGAGATGACTTGATAATTAGATAGGAGGGGTTGTAAGATTTATTTGATTTTATGATCCTGAAACCAATAAACTACAACTAAATAAAAGAAATCATTGAAACTGCCAAATTAATTGACTGAATATTATTTTAAAACGTTTTAATATCATAAAATTAAATTAAATTTTT